AGCATTGAAAACTGATTTAGAAAAAAGTTTTCAGCTCATATCAGAGGTATACCTCTCAAATGACCTGAAAACTTTTTTCTAAATCAGTTTTCAATGCTGATTCAGAAAAACATATAGTGCGAACCTTCCATCTTGCAATATACCCTCAAAAAGTCAATTCCACCATACAGGATGGTTTTTTGTATTTTTGAGGTCCTCTTAGTATTTTGAGTTTTTCTCCATGAAGAAATGGTTTTAGGAGGCTCGGAAGGTATTATTCGTGATCAAAGCGTCCTCTACGATGATGTTTGAAATAATCACGCAAAGAAGGGAATAAAACTCTGAATAATGATTACTTTTGTTTACTATAAGAGAGAGAAAGGAAATGACATAACCTTGATAAAAAAATGATTACATTAATATCCGAACAGTTCCTTACCGTCCGAATATGGGTTCCAATGTATTGTGTAATTTATTTTGTTGGTCATCAATAATAATTTGGTTATTTAGAAATATTTTTAGATATGGATCAGCTCTTCCCGATGCATCCCATGCTCGAAATAATACTGCTTTTATAAGATACAAACGACATTTCATGATAATAGGATTTTTATTAAAGTCAAGTGAACGTATTGAATTTCCTATATGCGATGGTTGAGCTTCCGGTATCACTAAATTACGGGGTGGACCTGCAGACGTTGAACGAGTTCTACCATCTTGTGCGGGTACTTCACGAATACGAAGTTTACCCTAAAAGAAACATAAACTTTCCATTTAAAATAGCTTAAAATAATTGTTTACTTTTATCATTTACCTTAAATTTAACAAATACACGTTTTTCATCTCCAATTTCATCTGATCGACTCGAACCTTTGCCTTTGTATAATGGAAATGTATCGAGACAGTCGTTAAAATGTTCATATTCTGAAACATTTTCTAATTCTGTTGGATATACCTGAACGAAAGATAAGTAATAAAACAATTAATTTCAATGTGTTTCTCATAGTCAAATTAGACACTATTCATACATCAAATGTTTGTAATAATGTTAATTGTTTTAATCTATCAAATTCGATTGCATTTAAATGACTATCACCACCTGTTCTTATATACTTCAAATAGATAAAAAATAAAGAATATTAGAAAATTAGAAGAAGAAAAAGAAAACATTTTATGTACCTACCGCTTTTTCTCGAACATTTTCAACTGTTTCTTGAGCTAATCGAGTAAATTTTTTTTGCATTTTTCCTGCACGTGTAAATGCTCGTTTAGCACTAACCCAAAAATTAAATCGAGGTTTGAGAACAGTTTCTAAAAGATCATAAAGTAGATCGTAGAAGATTATTTTTTCATAATGTTCATTCGAATTGAAAAACAAAACAAAAACACCTTTATTAAACTTTCTTTTATTTTGTTTTTTGATCAGACATCGAGATCTGATCACGTTGACATTTTCGTTTCTCAACGTGTGTCAAGAAAAACAAAAAAATTGATTCTTACGTGGCTCATTTTCAAAAAATTCGGCATAAACTTCGTAGTTTTCTTTGTCTTCTGGATCTTGCATTTGTAATTCAAGTAGTCGCTAGAAAAATACAGGCTTGTAGAGGCAAAACAGTTTATAAGAAAAGCTTTCGTTGTTCAGCTAGAAATCATGAAACTATTGATCATCGATGATATTGATGTCAAAATATGACCATCGGGAGCGTCCATGGATCTTTGAAATTTCAACTTTTACAAACGAAAATATATTTTTCAGAGGAAAAAAAAACGTTTTTTTTTTGCTTTAAGAACCAAATAATCCAAGTCATTTGACCGCAGCGTTAAGAAAATAATACGAATGATAGTCGAAATGGTTTAGGGACATCCTCTGTCCGAAATATAGAGTCGGGTATAAAGCGTCTGAAGAAGTTCTCTAACAATGTCTAAAATATTGAAATTTGTAATATTTAGATATTTCAATAAAATGTTGAAATTAAAGAGAATTTCAAGGATGGTAGGTATGCAGTTAACTGGAACTGTTGCAAAAAACATGTTAAGATGAATTCAAAAAAATTTGAAATTCTATTGAAGAAAATGTCGATAAAAACTCAAAAGTCTTTTAATAAGAACGCTTTTTGACGCTGGAATTTATGAACTATTAGTAATCGATTATGGAACTCATAAAGCAACTGTTTCTGTGATTCATATGACTCACTGACGATCTCTATGAAGCCTTATGAATTTTCACTGGTTTTAGAACCTTTTACGCATCTCTAACGAGAGAACCGCCCGAGATGCCTACTTCTGATTCAAATGCTTTGTACATGGATAGACCTCAGTGAGGTAATAAATATCCTAAAAGGATTCGGGCTTATGGCTCTTGAAGACTCGGTTTTCTGGAAAATCAGTTTTTCGAAAACTCTAACAAATAACCAAAACCTTTTCTTAATGAGGCATGATTGTGGCCTGTAAATGTCTGATTAAAATGAGATATCTCCCAGCTCTACATGACCTTTCTTTGCAAAGGTATAGAATTTACAAGAAAAGCCTTAAATGTTCATTGTCAGCTCAAAGCTACAGAAATAAGAAGAAATTAATTTAGGGCTTTTCTTGTAAATTCTATAACTTTGCAAGGAAAGGTCATGTAGAGCTGGAAGACGTCTCATTTTAATCAGACATTTACAGGCCATAATCATGCCTTATTAAGAAAAGGTTTTGGTTATTTTTTAGCGTTTCTGAAAAACTGGTTTTGCAGAAAACAGGGTCTTCAAGAGTCATGGGTCCAAATCCTTTTAGGGTATTTACTACCTCACTAAGGTCTATCCATGTACAAGCATCCATGTACAAAGCACTTGAATTGGAAGCGGATATCTCGCGAGGTTCTCTCGTAAGTGGAGAGATCATCAGTGAGTCATATTGATCACAGCAGCAGACCCTTTATGAGTTTCATAATCGATTACTTATAGTTCATAAAGTCCAGCTTCAAAAAGCGTTCCTATTAAAAGACTTGAGTTTTTATCGGCATTTTCTGCCATAGAATTTCAAATTATGTTTTGCTACAGTTCCTAACTGCATACGGAAAGGATAGTGGTTTGTAGAACAAACATTTCTGAGCATAATCTGGTGTCTCACAAGTTTGAGCAATTTTCTTTGATCAAATTTATATGAGGTTTACTAGGAGCCCTACAATTTCTACTATACTCAAGCACCATCATAGTTTACTCAAATTAAGCGTTAGAGAGCTCAGGATGTTGTTGTTTTGCTGTAAACAAATGTTAACATTTTGACTGTAGGAGCGGATTTTTGACTTTTGTTTTAGACAGTAAGAAGAACTAAGGATCTATGAAAAGTCGGAGAAAAGTTTTAGATGTTTTGTCGAAAAATGTTTCACGTTAGTCAGTAACAAAAAAAATGTCAAAAATCTGCTAAAAATACTATCGTTTTGGCAGTCCAGGACTGCCAAAACGATAGTATTTTTGTACGATACAGTTCTGTAGTACTTCAGCTACGCGAGATTTTGGGAAAACTTGAACTACCTCATTGTGGCGACAGCTCGCGAACGGAGACAGATGGAGTCGATGACATAATCATCATTTTTCGAACGTTTGATCCAGATTGGAGTTTTAGTTACCTATCGATATAAATTTCTGACAAAAAAAGGTGATTCTTCAGTTGCCATGTAATTCGACATCCTCAAAATGTGGCAACTTTAAAAACAAAAAAGAGTTCTCAAATAAAAATATTTTGCTCTAAAAAATCGAAATTTCAAAGTTTCATGATCACCGACAATAGTCCTAGTCCAAAGGATATTACTACAAGACGCGAACATCCACGAACACCTGTAAATTAAAAACAAAAAAAAAAATGAGTTAGCCAATCTACACGAGTTCGTCAAGCTTACGACGGAATCGCTCCAAGTGTTCACGAGCTTTTTCGTCGAAACACACATAGGCATAGGTTATCGCTCATGCTGATTTCGAATATCATAGTCGGCGTGGCATAACGGCCCTTGGAGACCAGGTTTTCTAAAAACCAGTTTTTCAGAAACTCTAGAAAATAACCAATACCTTTCTTAATGATTCATAATTGTAGCCCGCACATTTCTGATAAAACCTCTCCCAACTCTACATGACCTTTCTTTGCAAAGTTATAGAGTTTACAAGAAAAGCCCTAAATTAATTTCTTGTTATTTCTGCAGCTTTGAGCTGATAATGAACATTTAGGGCTTTTCTTGTAAAATCTATAACTTTGCAAAGAAAGGTCATGTAGAGCTGGGAGATGTGTTTCGACGAAAAAGTTCGGGAACACTTGGGACGATTCCCTCGTAAGCTCGACGAACTCTATCGACTGACTACTCAGATTTTAATTTAGGGATGTTCGCGTCTTGTAATGATACCCTAGTCAAAATGTGCACCATCGATTACCGCTAGTTGTCTTATAATTTCTCACTCAAGAAACACTGAAAAGATTTTTTTTTTTTGTCTCATTTCAATTATTATTCGTACAATTTTTGCTTTCGATGCATAATATTTCTTCCACCACGTTGCTGATTTTTCCATTTCTTTTTGTTTTAATTTCTCTTCTGGTGTTAATTCTTTTTTTTCCGGTGTAAATTCATCATCATC